ATTACTCATATATTTCACATTATAAAAAACAATAATGGTGAATATATTAGTGGCCACGTTACTCTCTAATAAAATATCTTATTTATTAAGTTTTTATTAATTGAAAATTCGCTTTTAGTATATATAGCATTTGTTTGAAACCCATTATTCAGTAATACATTTTTTTTGAACTCATTTTCAAGCACACATTCCTAAAAAAATTACTATTTCCTACTTTTCAACCACATATTCCTAAAAAAAAAATGACTATTTCAAAATCTATTTTTTTGCCAAATAATGGAATTCAAGCAAAGGCATAATATACCGTAAAAAAAAAAAAAAGTCCTCAAGGCACACGTAATGCCGTTAATATTGGCTTAACCCAATTATGAACTTAAAATATAAATTAAAGTCCAAATTCAATGACGTAGAAGAGAGATGAAATTCTTTGATTCTCTTTTACAAATAAAAAATAAAAAATCCAATAACGTAAATTATCAGGTTGCGTTGAGAATAGATAAAATATTTCCTGGGCGAACACTTTAGTCGCTTTATAAGACTTCGCCTTGAGGCAAAGTCTTACAAATGACGTTTAAGACATAAGTTTTGAGACCTTCTATGAAAGGGTCATATGAGATGGTACTCAAGGCGTAAGCCTCGAAAGGTTTTTCAAGATGCTCCATGTCTACCTTCTCCTCTTTTCCTCACCCTCCACATATACATGGGTACATACATAAGAATAATGTTAATTGTACATCCTTGGTTTTGTGTATACTCCATTGAAATTCAAAAAGTGATGAACAGAAAAGTGTGTTTTTTTCAAAATTGTCCAATCATGCGTCGTCACGTGGCACGACGTAAAAAAGACGTACATGTAGCATGATTGCATACATAAACATATATCCTTCCCTTCATCTCTTCTTTTTGGGTTAATCCTATGTCCGTTTCCCACAAACCTTCAATAGAGTAGGGCTAAAGACCTTAATGGTGATTCTCCGGTCATCCTTTAGACTAAGGTAATATGCCAGATATGGAGTCTTGGTAATTGGGAGTATGAAACTGGCTATGAATAGATTGGGATTAGTTCCAGTGGAATAAGAACTTAACAAGCATGAATACAGACTATGAGCTATGCTCATATCAAGCACCCGCACCCTTGTTTATAGATGCTCAGTTAATTTAATTTGTATCATTTCCATAATGTGAGTGTTAGCTTAGGATGTTCACACACTTATCAGTGAAAAAACACTTCCAGGAAATTAAGTGACATTATCGATATTAAGAATACATGACACTGGGTTATACTTATAGAGGAATGGGCAATGGATAAACTAAAAAATCATTAGAGCCTCGTGCGCACACGCGTTGCATATTTTTGTTCTTTATTATTGATCTCATAAGTAGGGATTAAGGCATAATCCATAACAACATGATCATCGAGTTTACATATGTGCAATGGGGAAATATTTCATTGCTATCGATATTTACGTGGTCTTTACAAGTCTTGGCTCTTTACCCAACTTCTTTGACACCCACAAATCAGAAGAGCAAAAATTTTAGACCAGCTGAACCAAAAATAGATAATCACTGGACTTGTGAGGTGTCTGAATCTTGAGGATAAGCCCAAAAGTTGGCCTTTATTCGCCAGACACAAACAAATGCTTCTCAACTTTCTTCAAAACATGCTTAGAGTTGGTTGTGTTCAATGATGAAGCGGCAGTGCAAGATGATGATTGAAGTAAATTCTTACAAGACGCAGAAAGAAAATCATATGTACTAGCTTCCTCTTCGTGAATTGTTTCTAACATCCTTGATGCTCGGTGCATCAAAAGTCACAAATTGTGATGGTGCTTCTTTGGTAATATATCTAGTAATGCAAGCATATGGCATATTTTCTTCCACTTTTGTGAGATTAATATATGCTGGACAAGACATTGGGGTGTGTGTGAAGGAGAAGATGAGGCATATAGACTCTTTAAAATTTACAGGGATAAGATTGACTTAAATTCGAGCCATTGAATGAAATTATGAATGTATGCCTCCGGCTTAATTGGTTTTGTAGTCCTAATCAAAAGTTTTTTTTTTTATCATTTTAAGCCATTTGTGTTGTTTCCTACCTTTGGTATTTATATGCAGATAACAATGTTTGCTAGTTACACAAATGATATAGCCTTATCAGTAGGACAGTAGAGAAGACTAAAATGAGAAAACTGTGTTATTGGTGCCATATAATGCTGCGTGTCTGTGTTTGGGTAGATGATAATTTGCTTTTGTTGGCATTGAAAGCTTTGAATTTGCACTTTTTGGATAAAACTAGAAATTGCCTTTAAATTTCAATTGAAATTGAGAATGTGCAAACCTGGACTCTATTGGGGTGGTCCATGGTGAGTCACAGTCCCCCTTTTCTATAGGCTTCAGTCAGTCTGACCCATGCAGAAAAGTGCAAAGGCCTGGGCACAGTAAGGCTACATGCCACAACACGGCTCTCAATATGGAAGAGCGCCCGTTTAAAGTCCTAATTAAATGAACAGTTTTTCTTCTCTGTAAAACTTCCACACTCAGCTTTATGCAATCTACATTCAATAATATTTTGTTTGGTTCATTTGCCTCTGATATCTATTGTATGAATGAATTGAAAGGGCAAGAGTGATCCTTGAACATCTGAATAGAAAAGCTTGGTATTCTTCAAGAAGAACAATGAATTTGATGTGATTAATATTCGTATTTCATTGTCCCCTGTTTATCATTTTCGGGCTTCTTTTAATTTTATGGTCGGGACTCTTATAGGTGCAACTTGCATATTTGTGGTGTGGAAATGTGTCATCTCCCCTAATTCGTTGCATCAGTATTTACTCCTGATTTGAGTGATTGCCGAGACTTTTTCGACTCAAGACATTAAACACATTTCCGGAAGTGTAGACTAAAATTGTTTTTGATTGATGCAGGAGTTCTCTCGCTCCCAACACCAATACCTGTAAGAAGCATATCCGATTCAAGATTCAAATTGGTCGGGAAAGCAGATTACTTTTCCATATCGTGTATCCGACCCCACAAATCACATGCGCCAGAAAATGTTTGATGTGAAAAGAGAATTGTAGGGAAAATAATGAGCAAATTGACCGGGTACAAGCCCACACCACCAAGTCCAAGTGAGGTTCAAACTCAAAGCTAATTGGCAATGGGTGGAGTTAGGGGTGGGCAAAACCCGACCGAACCTGCCCAAACCGTTCAAATAGAACCAACCCGACCTTGTTGGGTCGGTTTTTTTTGTTGTTTTTATATGGGTTGGGTGGGTTGGCTGTGTATGCGGGTCGGGTCGGGTCGAGTCGGGTCGGGTTATAGGTTAACTCAAGAAAATCGAATAAACCTGTCAAACCCAATCCACCACTTTAAAAAAATAATAATAATAATAAATAAAAGAAATAAAATGCATAGAAAAGTAAAAGAAATCTAAAAAGTATAAGTAGATAGTGTAACTGTAATTATCTTAGTGTATTTTAGATGAGGGGCTTACTGTTCTTCCCATAAAAAATGTAGTATAAGTTTTTCGTACTATGTTAAATGTACTTTGTTCTTTGTAGACTCGACTAATGAGGATAAAATAAGATAATAGATAATTTTATTTATTTACTTACTATTTAATCTTGTTTATTCGAATTTAGTATAATAGAAAAATTGATGACTTTAATTTTTGTTAACAAGTCGTCCCAAATCGATCAACCCAACCTAACATGACCGATACTCGATTGGGTTGGGTTGGATTTCAACATTTACATGGGTTAAGTTGGGTTAAATTTTGATCAAACCGATCATATTGGGTTGAGTTTGGGTTGAGGCAAAAACCGACCCAATCCAACCCATGCCCACCCCTAGGTGGAGTAGCCCACTTGGGTTATATAGTGGANGATTTCTTTTCTTCTCCCAACCGATGTGGGACTTCTTGTTTGCTCCCAACAATCCTCTCATCAAACGAAGGACCACATCATTGTGGCCTTCCCTCGAACGATAATCCATTCGCCAATCATCTTATACCGTCGTTATTACCGTCGCTCTCGACCAAACGGGACCTGCTGCTGGACCACTAATGTCAGGAAGACTTTCGACATAATGCACCTCAAATGCGAATGATTTTTAGTCCGATCGCTACTAAGCTTTCTACTGCGTTCCTCCGACCCTGGACTATGATACCGGTTGTAGGGAAAATATTGAGCAAATTGATCGAGCCCAAGCCCACACCACCAAGTCCAAGTGAGGTTCTAACCCATAACCAATTGGCAATAGGTGGAGTAGCCCACTTGGGTTGTATGGTGGATTTCTTTTCTTCTCCCGACCAATGTAGAACTTCTTGTTTGCGCAAGGATGGTTATATGCAAAATATTGTAACCCTCTTTTTCTTGAAATGAGCCTCTCTAGTAGCCTTTTCTTTATGGCATGAACAGTGGCACTTCAGGGGAAGACATGTCTGGCTATTAGGATATTTGGCCAAGCTTATTTTGCCAGTAAGGGAATGGTTACTGTGGAAACAGGAATTAAAAAAGGTAAGAATCGGCTACTTATAAGCTCAACAAACATGCTTAATTCTCACCTTGGAATCAATTCACTAGGATGTGAGGTATTGATCGAAGTGTCACGTTTAAGTATCAGGAGTGCCGCTTCAACTGGGTTAATTGATTAAACCAAAAAGCTGATGAATGGATCGAACTGAAAAAGTGAAATTCTGGGTTCATCTGTCAGTGGTCCGCAAGAAAATGCTGTATCGATTCTGGATGGATTTAGTATCACCTAATGGAAAGAGACGCATCCAATAATTCCAAACGTGAGATTTATGCATGTAACATTTTCAATGTTTCTTTATCCAAAATTTGTCATTTTAAATAGAAGTTAACTTGGCAACTGTTAAAGTTTATTCATTTATAAGCTTAATTAATTATATGACTCGAGTTCATTTGCTATAAATATGAAGCACAAGTGCACGGGTCGAACAACCATTTTTTCTTCAGTAATTTTCAGTGGACAGAGAAATGGAAGCCAATGTCTTAACCCTTGCGATGTCTTCAGGCAAAATCCCTCAAGCTACGGAGACTCGGCCCTGGGGAACTCCACTCGGCCGGAATCCATTCTCGGCAGTTGCACTAGCTCCCTATCTCCATGTATCGAGGCTCCAACATCAGGTATCCCTCGAAACAATAGACGAAGAAATTGCAGACGACAAGCTTTTTGAGCCTGTTGGGAATTTACAGCACAATCCAGACTCCAATACCTAGCATAAAATAGTTCTAAGCTCATTCAATGATGATAAAGTTCAATACCCAATGTTATAACCTCAGTATACAGATTTCCACAATGCTCAAGAAGTCTTAATGCAATAGTTCAATACACAATAACATATATCAATGCATTTTCAGAATGTACAAACTAATCAGCAGAATATACTTCAACCATAGAAACTGAAATGTACAGATTATGGAACTCATAGAAACCAAGCAACATTATAAGCATATCAACCGAAAGCCAGAAAAGGAGCATATACAGAACACAAGAAAAAGGACAGGAATTTCCCTTCCATGGTGCTGCCGTTTTCCCCACGTTGTGGCCGTTCTTCTTCCCTTTATTGGCTGAGATGTAGGCTCAGGAACGACCCAACCATGCCACGCAAATCACCATCCATAGAGAGTGCAAGAACCAGCCATCACTTGGCTTGGATCATCGACCAATCGGTCTACCAATAGCAGCCAAGAACAACCTCAGAATCTGACCTAAACCCACAGGAACGAACCAGCACTTAGCCACTATTTCAGGCCTAAGTCCACACAGGTAAGGTTAACCAAGTCGATTCTAGGGTAC